GGGTATGTGGGGGGGACTTGATAATAGGGAGAGTCTACTAACCATAATGTTGTACAAGTAATTGTACATTAATGATAGCAAAAAAAAAAAGAAAAGTTTAGTGCTTTAAATGTTTTCAAAAGTTCTATCCTACTGGAGCTGTGATTTTATTCCAAGTTGAAGCTATAAGTCAATTTTATGCCTCATTATGTGTTAATGATTGCTGAGGGACTGCTCTGTGCAAATTAACCCGAGAGCACTGAAAATTCCAGAAATCTTTGGCTGCAGTGTGCTGGATGGGGTGCTCTAGGGGTAGAGGAGGTGGGATACCAAGAAGAAGATGAGCTGGTCCCTACCTTCAAGGAACCCAATCTAACTAGAGTCCAAGACTGAATATGGTAAGTTTGAAAACTTTCTTCTTCATATCCGCTAATATTAAACATATGGCATTCAAGTACTCAGATATCTCATTAAAAATAATGAATGGTTGTGTGTGCAATCATATAACTTCGAAGATATGCTTTTGGCTTTGAAAACCACAAATTTGAAGGCTATTCTTAAGATAGTGGATTGGTATTTTATTATTGGATAGACAGTGATAGGTAGGTCCTAATAATATACAGACATAAGAAGGTGCAAGTTTAAGAGCTTTTGGTTCTTCATTATCATTATGGAGGCAAAATGAAATGTTATTTTTTAAAGAAATTGCATTCATAATAATAGGTATGATGTGAACTGGTAGTTTTCTATATATGCTTTAATTTTTAAGTGAAAATATATACATACATTTGTGGTAATAAAAATATTCACTTATTATTTCTTAGTAAATGTTTTAATGATTTTCTGGGACTTGGCAAATCAACACAATTTGATGTTTGGATATTTTTTACTCAGCTGATGGTGTACTGTATTGTACTATGCTTGAAATGAATGAATCTCTTGCTTTTTTCCCATAATATAAGCTGTTCTGTGAAGTGAGATGGAGAAGAAACTAACACGGTGTTACTTGTGACAGATACTGTCCTAGGCGTTTTACAGATTCTTGCCTAGTTTGTTTAGTCCCTAACCCTTCTGATCTGCAAAATCCTAGCAACATTTTAATCATCCCCAGGTATCTATAGAGACAAAGCTAATTTCTGTCACACTTTAAATATCCTGAATTGATTTCTATGTTTGTGGTTTGATTTGGAAATTAGGAGATTAAGTTTCCTTCCCCTGGCTAAATTCCTGAGTTAATCCTTTATTTCCTGACTACAGAGTTGCTGCAGTCCAGTTTCTTTCCAAGCTTTGCTTTACTTACCATATTTATCTGTCAGAGTGAGCAGGAAGACGATGTATGTTGAGTTGGTTTATTGCCCAGCAGCCTGCAAGAATGAGGATAGAGAAAGGCCCTTAAAGAGAAGCTCAGGCCAAAGAGATTTTACTGAAAAAATTAAAGTAAAAACAGTAGCCACGTGAACAAGGCTAATGTGTGGGTTTAAAAAATTTGTTCAGTCTCATGTGGTCTTTGGTAATGATAAGACCTTTTTCTAGGAGCAATTAATTTCTCTTGTCTGTTTTGTTCTCTGTAACCCTGTCATCTGTGCCTGGCACAATATAGTTGCTTGATAATGATTTGTTGATTCATTGAACCAATGGCTGAATGAATGAATGCATGAATGAATGAATGACACAGTTCACTGCAGTTTCTGGTCTTCCACTTTATTATATTTACTATAGTGAACTTTTTGGTTGATATTCTTAAATGGTGAAGGGAAAGCTGGTACTAACTCATGTAGTTTCTAAATGATTCTAATTCTTGATTCTTTAAATAAGTGATATATTGGAAACTTTTCCTGTAGGAGATTATCTCAAATTATAGTCATTTGTTAGTTGTGGGCAGTGTGGAAGCATGTTATATCTCTCTAATACAGCAACACCTATATATGTCTTTATTTTCCATGGTTTTGTTAGGTTATTTATTTTTTTGGTAAGATAAATCAACTCATGCATTAGAAAACTACTTTTATGTTTATCTTCATAGAATTTACAATTAGGGAAGTTTTGTTCATACTGTATTTGAAGAGTATGGAATAAGGTTTATTTTCTTCTTATAGGTTTGTGGATATGTCAGGATAGTTTGTGTAATGTGTCAGTGTTTCTGAGTAGGTTTATATAATTTAGCCTAAGGTGGATTAAGTAGTTGTAAAGAGATTTGAAGCTCTTTTTAAAAAAGCTTTTCCTCAGAAGAATTATGAAAAAGAGAATAACTTAATGTTCAAGTCAGAGTTCTCCATTTTGGTATAAGCACAACAGCTTAATAGTAGTTCTAGAACAGCAGTTTCAAATGTTTTGGCCTCAGGAACCCTTTATACTCTTAAAAATTATTGGAGACTTTAAAGAGCTTTTGTTAATGTGGGTTATATCTATCTGTATTTAGTGTATTAGAAAACAAAATGGATTAAAAATTTTATTATTTTTTAAAGTAAGAATAAACACATCACATGCCCGTCTAAATAGTATTTTTTATTTTGAAAAACAAAGATTTCCAAAACAAATTCTAGTGAAAAGAACAATAACTGTTTTAAATTTTTGCAAAAATCTCTCTGGCTTAGTAAAACACATCTGGATTCTCACATCTGCCTCTGTTTTAACATCTTACAATACTAATAACATCTATTCTCTGAAAAATTACAATGTACGTTAGTGAGGGAATGAGACTAATACATGGTGTTACGATAAAAATAGTTTTCACCCTACAGACTCCCTGCGAACCCCAGGGTTCATGGGCCACCTTTTGAGAACCACTGTTCCAGAAGCTTGTTTGACCTTTTCTTTTATCTGTTTCTATGTTGTAGTTGAATTTTTTATAATGAGCATATATTACTTTTGTCTGTTTACAACACAAAAAACAAAATGAAAGACTGTGGGGGGAAGATGATTAAGTCTCAAAAGAAGGTGATAAAGTTTTTGTTTCAACAACAAAAATTCTCATTTTAGTTTCTAATTATATGGTCCCAGAATGCATCTAAATTTCAAATTTAACCAGTGTGTTTTACATAGGATCCTATCCAAAATAGGAACATGAACAAGCAAATAATGCAAGCGCCAGGTCCTTAGTTCCCATCTTGTGTGTTGAAGGTCTGAACACCCACCGCCAGTTTCTCAGTCCAGAGGGCACCTTTGCTTTTGACGCTCCCACAGGAAGCCCTGGCATGGTTGGGGATATGAAACCACCTTTATGATTTTTCTCTGCTGATTCAAGTAAATCTGGGTTTGGAAAGAGCAGAGTACCACTTAATGCTGTAACTGTCGTTGGACACTATAGCTGTCAGATTAGGAATCCTTACTAATCCCTGCCCAACTTTATTTTTGGCCCCCAAGTAACTTTTCTTACTTCTTCTGCTTCCTTACAAATTGGAGATATAGGAGCAATTCATGTCTTTTACTTAATTTTTCTCTTTCTCATTAAGTACTTAAAATGCATTCAGATAGGATTTTAAATATCTGTGATCAGACAGACACCTTGCTTTCAGGGTAATAGAAATAACCAAAAGCTTGAAAACTTACAAAGAAATCAGAATAATTTGGCTTAGGTCAAAGTGTAATTTTTTTCACTGTGGGAGAAAAGGGCAACTATTAATCTAATCATTTTCCTGTGGCACATCAGAAATAGAGACCTCAATAAGTAAATAAAATACCAGTCTTGTCTATTGCAACAATCAAATACTGTAACTAGAGTAAAAATGCTACATTTCATTTCCAGTGTATATCTAAATATTAACTCCCTTGAGTTATTTCTTTGGTATCTTTCAAATTTATCACCCATAGAAAATACTTAACTTTTTCCAAATATGCAAGCAGTATCTACATTTTTCATTAAAAATATTTTAATATTAAGAAAAATTAAATATCAACTATAACCCCTTCACCTTTGTATAGCTTCTGTTAACATTTTGGGATATATTTTTGATTATATGTATAGTAGCATTATCATATTGTAATACTATTTACAGCCTGATTTTTCATGATGGTATTTTTTCCATATCAATAAACATACATCCGTATTGCCATTTTTGAATCACTGCATGGTATTTCCTTGTAAGTCTGTACTGTTCTCATATATTAGATATTTTTTTACTGTAATAAAATAATGCTTTAGTAAACACACATCTTTGCATGCAAATCTGGTCATATCCTTGCAGTGAAGGCAGCTGTGGGATTGCTGGGCCAATGGGGCACTTTGCTCTTTTTCCAAAGACTTTTTGATAAAATAGCAAAACTTCTTTTTAAGAAAGATTTTTCCCAGTTTATACTCCCTTTCCCCCAACATTCTTGAAACTGGGATTAAAAATGTCATATTATTTTGGTTTTCATCTTTGAATACTTCTGACGTTGAGGATGAACATCTTTTCAAATGTTCTGCGTAAGTTCCCGTTCCTGTGCTCCACCTGTTTTTCCACCGGAATGTCATCGTGTGTATCTATGAGGTTCTCTGCAGTCATGGTAAAAGACATTTACTGTCTATCGTATTTGATAAGTTTTCTTCTCTGTGCATTTAAGAATTATTATAAAAAAGAATTATAATTATTATATTATTATCTCATGAGGATTATAAGAAATTCTAGGGACTGGAGGACATTAAGGTTTTGGGCTTTTTGATGTAGACCTTTCATTTTCTCTATTGCTGTCAGAGAGGTAAGCAAATCTTTTTATATGAGGCTAATTGTCTAAATAGTCAGTGTCCCCTTGACATAAGGTTGTAAAAATGTTGAGCTGTACTCTGTGTCTCTTTAAATTTGTGTGACCTCTGACACCCTCTCAACACTGAAAGCAGCAGTTCAGGAGCAGACCTGTCGGAGGGGAAAACAAACTCCTCTGCTGGCATTTTTCTGACTCGATGTTCCCTTGGTCTCCTCAGGAACCTGCCATTTGTAGCATGGCTCACCGATTTTACAGCGATCTGTATGATCTCTCCCCGATGTCCCTCCACAAGAGAAATGCGTTGTCTAAGCCCCGGCTGTGCTTCCGTTTACTTTCAGAGTCTCCACGTCCTGGAGAGGACTGCTTCCTCCAGCACCGAACCCTCTGTAAGTCGGCAGCTGCTAGAACCGGAGCCTGTGCCCCTCTCCAAGGTCAGTGACCGAATTGGTGCTTTGTCGGATGCGTGATGCCTGCCCCGGGGCCAGCGGAGTTGCACCCAGTTCTTACACCTGGTCCCCTGAGGCAGCTGTGATGCCCACTTAGGGCTGATCTCCCACATCTTTCTGCCTCCAGTACGTAGAGTTTTTCTTCCCTGCTTAAGGGAGGAGTAGATGAAAGAATATTTTGTTGGGATTTGCAGGGTTACATAGAAAAATCCAGAATTCTCTTGATGTTAAAGGAAGAGGGACTACTATAATTCTCTTTTGGAGAGATAAGCAAATATTTCTGTGCTAAGCTAAAAGAAAACAATTACTGAGTCTAACAATAATGATGATACAATAACAACAACTACTATTAATTGCCCATGCTCTGCATACCAAGCACTATGCAAAGTGCTTAAAAACATTATCCCATTTACTATAATTCTTAAGAACCACTCTATATATACACTCTTAATATCTTATAAATACACTCTATGCAGTGTATTTACTACGTTTACAAGTATGGAAACCAAGAGTTAGTAACTTGCTAGAAGTCAGAAATAGCTGCTAAAAACAGAGTGGGAATTCAAACTTAGACATATTTAAGCTCTACCCCACTTGCAGGTAAAATAGTGCCTGTGCAGAGGGACTGCTGAACACTCAGCATTCCGTTCTCCTTCCTACGTTTGGCCTTCCTAGCTGTGAGCTCCTAGGAGAACACTGCACATTACTGATTGATACCTTTTCCATTTCATGGAAGCCAGTGTTTTCTCCCTCCCTTTATCCTTCTCTTTCTTGGACTATGGAAACATCTAAATCCCTTTATGTTAACAATGCAGAAATCATAAAGAAAAATTGAGGAGACACCATCCTATTCATCCCCATTCCTTGTTCAGCTCCCTGAGATTTTCAGTAAGCTGGCATTCCAAATAGAATGCATGGGGACTTTGAATTCAAATAATAAAAACAACCCTTTATTTCCAAAAAAAGTTCTAAATATGCATAAACTGATCCTTCCACTATGCTTTTCCTATAATAAGCAGAATTCTTTGGGAAAAGAATACACCTTATTGTTTTAGAATATATATGTTTGTACCTTTTTATACCTTAAAGATATTACAGGCTGTAGAGTTTATTACATCAGAAGACTGCTACACTAAAGAAAGGAGGAGTTGGTTATTAAACTTAAATAATTTAATGAGGAATAAAAAGTGATCTGATTTCTATTTGGGTAGCAAAGAGAGAATGTCTACTTGGAAAATATAACCAGTAATCTCTGAAAACATCAGTTCTCTCTTAGAGGCAGCTAAAGGAGAGAGAGAGAGTAAGTAAATATAGGAGCAATGGGAAAAACACCTCACATTTATTGAGCACCTGCGTTGTCCCAGCCACTGAATTGTTACATATATTCTTTCACCTAATCAGCCCCCAACTCGATGAAGGTGGGTACTGATAATTATTCTCATTTTACTGATAAGGAAATGGAGACTTGGAGAATAAGTCAGTTGCCCAGAGTCAGATAGCTGGGAGTGTATAACAGAGCAGAAGGAAACTGACTGTGATCAGGAGAGGCACATAGAGAAAGGGAAACTTGGAGAACTCAGAAAGGATACATAGAAATGCAAAGGACAGATGGTCGTATTAAAGCAACAGATAAGGAGCAATGGGCACACAGGACTTGCTGTGGCCTGTCCTCTCTTTCCAGCACCATTGCCAGCCTCTTAGGCATCTCACTTTATGCTCCAGCTATAGCCACCTGCACACAGGCCCGTGCACTGGCCGTGCTCTTCCCTCCACTGCTGGGTGTCTGCTCCTTCCTTGGTTTGCCCACTCCATTGCCCTTCCTGCACCTTGCAAAAACTCCTACTCTTCTGTTAAGTTAGACCCACAGGAATCTTTTTTCAAATGCTGTTCATCACCTTCCTGCCCAGTCCACCCTCAGCCCCAGAATGGCTTGTGTAGCCTATCTCTGTATGGACCACATTTATTACTTTATTTTACACTCTTCTTATGTCAGGTTCTCTAGAAGGACAACCTGAGATGGGGTTTCAGGTGCTTGTGCTTTACTGAGAGGAGCCCCCAGGAGAAAGGAGGAGGAAGGGCAAGGGTTAGGGCAGGGGTGGTGCTCAGCAAGCAGGGGCTTCAGCTGGAGGCCACCTTCAGCCTGAGCCCTTGGTGCGCCTGGAGCATGAACTCCACCAGGGTTGCTCTCACCCTGAGCAAGGAGGACTTTCTGTTCCCTCAGCCCTTTGTACCTTGTGTCCTTCAGTAGCTGAGAACCATGGAGGAGGGAGGCTGATGCCCAGGCGCAAAGGCCCCAGCCTGGCCAAACAGAAGTTGCAGTAAAGGAGGGAGCTGGTGGCCCTGGCAGTTCACAGTGCCCACACCATGTCCCATGCTGTTGCCTGCTTGAATCTTGCTGTATGACGGGCACTCTTGCTGTTTGTTATGTTTTTATGAGACTGACACGCTACCTACTGCGCTAATGAGGCACCTGCTTGTTATGTTTTTATATTAATAGATACCACACCTCTTGGGGCCCTATGATATCAGAGGGTCCCATCCAATCCAGATACCATAGCCTCACACCATCCTCAGCCCTCTTGAGAAAAGATGGGCTTCTGGGGCACTGGTAGTGATGGAAGAATGTTGTTTGAAGTACACATTGTCCCAACAGGATTTGTTGAAATTCTTTGCTGGGTGCTTTCACCTCCTAAAGCTTCACATCCCACCCCTCCCAGCATTTGCACATACAGAGTATATATCCTTGACTAAGGAAATGTCTCAGATGAACATACTAGGGCTGTTACATTATTTTGGTTTTAGCAATTTTTATTAGATTTAAAGTATTTTTTAAATTTCTGCAATAGCAAAAAAGCTTGCATATCTGAGTCCTGATGTGATCACAATAGGGCCTTGACTCTCTTTCCATAATAAACAGAATTTATATTATATTTAACATTTTTATTTTGTAAAGTCTGTTTATATTATATTAACCTAGGAAGTTGCAGGCTTAACAAGCAGAAAATTAGTATCAATTGAAATTACAATATAAAGAGAAGTTATTCAATTTTCAGAAAGTAATTTTAGCTTTCTTAAGGAAGATCTAGTCTACTAAGCATCGAGATGGATAATATTAAGTACTGAGAGGAGTTGTTTCCTTTCTTACATAACTTATTTAGGATATTATCAACAACATTTATAATTGAAATAGAATATTGTTTGTTCCTGCTTTACGTTTTGCCTCTATCAAGTTGACAGCTTGTTTAACTTTATGAACTACTGCAATTTTTTCTTTCAATTTCTTTTAGTTCGTGATATTGCATCAGAGTAAATGGAGTTATTTGTTCAGAGCTGATATATTTATGTTTAAGAAATACATTTAAATTTTTTGCCTCTCCCATCTTATCCCCCTTTCTTTTTTGTCCCCTGCAGTTAAACTTCTGAAGAAGAAAAAAACTGCTCTGAAAGAAATCAGTAGCCATAGCTCCACAGGGACAAATTGTTTAATGAGTTTAATGAGAAAAAGCGTTTGTCCTTATTTTTAAATGTTTCATTTTTACAAGTTGTATAGAGTATTCTTCACATACACATATACTTACAGGGACTAAATCAAAGATGAACCTTAGCTTTCAAATAAGTCAAAGAGAAAAATGCTTTTCTTCTAGAGATGCTGCCCATGATGGGGCTACTTAACACAGAAATGTCATTAAAAACAGCTGATCCCTAAGAACAGAGAGAGCGCTAATCAATCTATTTAATATATACATACATAAATATAGTTATTCTTAATTTTCTTGATTACATAAAATTTTAAAAATGAAATCTGTTGAAATCATCATTTTTAAGGAAATTTTTATCAACGTTTCTGGTAAGAGTAGAATGCCAAAGATAGGACATTGCATAAGAACCCAGCCTTTTCTCCTGTTCTCCTGACATGGTTCATAAGCAGCGCTTGCTTGTGTAACTGCATGCAGTTCAGTATTGAAAAATGGGAATTCCAGAGCATCGTGCTCTTTACTCGGGATGATAATGCCACCTGCACTTGTCCCCCAAATATGCATAGAACCTGAAATTGTCTCATCAGAAACATTTTATAACAATCACTGTATCTAACAATTTGGCCAGCTCAATCATGATTTCTGACAGAATTATCTTAAAGTAGAACATCACTTCTTGGGTTGTTTTCTTAGGTAAGGAAGGGGAAATTGTTACACATCCTTTCAGGGGTTTCCAGTGTTGCAAAGTGAACACAGGCAGGTGTGTTTCTTTGGAGTATGTAGTTCATCACAAGGGACCCCACAGGGATGGCCAAGAAGATGAAGAAATGACTCTGGTCTCAGATTGGTTTTCCTTGTAGGCTTGAGGGCGTTGTAGGGCTGGGCTTAGGGAGGACAGAGGCATGATGCTGGTGTTAGAGGGCTTTTCATAAGCCAGGAGTATCTCCTAGGTTTAGTGATATTAGGAAGAAGCAGTGTTCAGCCATATTTCCTAGAAACATAACTTTCTGTGACTATCCCACCCTGTTTACACATATTTGGACTTAAACATAGATTTGACTTGGCCATAGGGCAAGCAGCTTCTAGGATGAAAGGAGGCAGAAAGGGAAAGGGGGAGGGATGACAGATACGCAGCCCTCCCCCTTGCCATCGCCACAGCCACTGTCAGCACCTAACTGTGGCACCTTTGCCACTGGGCTTCATCGAGCCTCCCAGCCCTTCCAGTTCTGCGCAGCCACCACGCGGACACTGGAGCCAGTCAATCACTGTATCTAACAATTTGGCCAGCTCAATCATGATTTCTGACAGAATTATCTTAAAGTAGAACATCACTTCTTGGGTTGTTTTCTTAGGTAAGGAAGGGGAAATTGTTACACATCCTTTCAGGGGTTTCCAGTGTTGCAAAGTGAACACAGGCAGGTGTGTTTCTTTGGAGTATGTAGTTCATCACAAGGGACCCCACAGGGATGGCCAAGAAGATGAAGAAATGACTCTGGTCTCAGATTGGTTTTCCTTGTAGGCTTGAGGGCGTTGTAGGGCTGGGCTTAGGGAGGACAGAGGCATGATGCTGGTGTTAGAGGGCTTTTCATAAGCCAGGAGTATCTCCTAGGTTTAGTGATATTAGGAAGAAGCAGTGTTCAGCCATATTTCCTAGAAACATAACTTTCTGTGACTATCCCACCCTATTTACACATATTTGGACTTAAACATAGATTTGACTTGGCCATAGGGCAAGCAGCTTCTAGGATGAAAGGAGGCAGAAAGGGAAAGGGGGAGGGATGACAGATACGCAGCCCTCCCCCTTGCCATCGCCACAGCCACTGTCAGCACCTAACTGTGGCACCTTTGCCACTGGGCTTCATCGAGCCTCCCAGCCCTTCCAGTTCTGCGCAGCCACCACGCGGACACTGGAGCCAGCAAGTCCGGCTGCCCTGAGGTGGAACCCACCGGCCGATCCTGTTGAAATCTTGGTTCTGTGGTTGAAGGGTGTTTCTGGTGGAATCGAAGGCAACTTCCCAAGTCAGTTTGGGCCAGGGCGTTCTTCAGAGGGGCCTGCCGTGATCTGTGGAGCTGTGTCTGGCTTCATGAAGCTAAGGCGGTAGAACAGATCACAGAGAGAGTTTGCTTCCCTGCAAAATGTGCGTGGGCTATAACTTTGTTGTTCCTGCCTCTGTACCTTTTTGTGGCACATGCCTGAGATCAGGAATCTGAGAGCCAAGTATTACTTTAGAGCTGCTTGGGCCCTTAGAAGTCACCTGGTCCAGGGATTCTAAAATCCAGGGTGTTGCTGAGGGCCAGGTATCTAACATGGAGGCAGGCCCAAGGGGGAGTGTGGCAAACCGAAGTAGGGCGTCCATCCCTCAGGGAAAGCAAAATGTTGCCAGACCTTCGAGGCTTTCACAAAAGTCTAGAAATCTAGATTTGTTAAGATTCTGAAATCTTCTGGTTTTGAAGTGTTGACAGCTCATTTTAAAAACTGCAGACACCATAGACAAACAAAACATGTCTTTCAGAAGAGGAAATCATGATTTCATCCACTGTTAATAGCAGAGGGTGACAGTGTACACTTCGGGGTCCCAGATTTCGGGCCTTGCAGTCTCGTGTTCTTTCTATGGGTTCCCAAGACTATGTGTGTCTCGGAATGAGTGTCTTCGAAAGCGTGGACTTCTCGGTGTGTGTGTGTGTGGCGAGCAGGGTGTTGTAGGTGCTCTCTGAAATGCACACGGCCTCACTGAGGGGGAAAGATACCCACGGCAGTGCTCTTCAGCTGGTGGGCATGAGCCACTTAGACCACGTCGGCCTTTCCATTTCCACACAGAAAGCCGTGTTCATATGTGAATCGAACATTTGTCATCAAAAACAGTCTTCTTTTAAAACCTTAAAGTGCCAGAGATGAACTATCTGGAAAAAATGCCTTTTAAACTTTACTAGTGAGAGGAATTCCATCTGCCCCAAACTCCATCTCCTTTCTGATGGACCCACATACCCCCAGGCCTACCTGGACACTCGTTTTCACTTCCATTTTTATATATATGAGATACAGCTGTATCTCATGTTAGAATTGGCTCCAGAATGCTGTGGATCAAGAGTTGCTTCAAAAAACAACTTATATTAACCGTCTGCTCTCAGTGTGACATCAAGCACTGGGAAACATGTGATTTGTTTTTCTTCTTTTATTTCAGGAAGCTGACAGCTGGGAAATTATAGAAGGGCTGAAAATAGGCCAGACTAATGTCCAGAGACCAGACAAACATGAAGGCTTTATGCTGAAGAAAAGAAAATGGCCTTTAAAAGGCTGGCACAAGGTACCATTTCATCATAGGGATCTGTAGATCATCTTCATCAATAGAAAGGATCTTATCTGTGTCATTAGGTGGGAAATCAACTGAGTGCTTGTGTGTGTCTAACTAGCTTTCAGGGCCTTCTTTTAATTATATTGACTCCATCCTGTTGTACCCATTTAAGTATTACCTGCATGCAGGGAAAAAATATTTTATGTGATATTTAAAATCCAGCTTGTACATATTGTTGTCTACTCTGCTTTTTTCAATTATATTAGCATGAATATGTTGTTATTAAACATTCTTCAGAATATGAGGTGTTTTAAAAATGCATGCACTTATTTCATTGGGTGGTTTATATTATAGTTGACCCTTGAACAACACAGTTTGAACTGTACAAGTCCTCTTATACATGAATTTTTTTCAATAAATTCAGACATACTGTATATGTATTTTCTCTTCCTTATGATTTTCTTAATGTTTTCTGCAGCTTGCTTTATTGTAAGAATACCACATATAATACATATAATGTACAAAATATATATTAATCAACTGTTTATGTTATTGGGAAGTCTTCCAGTTAACAGAAAGTAGACTATTAGTAACTAAGTTTTTGGGGAATCAAAAGTTATATGTGGATTTTCAACTGTGCAGGGTATCAGAAACCCTAACCCCCACATTGTTCAAGGGTTCACTATATGTCCCTCCATTGTTGAACCAATTTCCTATTTTTAGATAAGTAAGGTCTGTCTAGTTTTTTATTATATTGTGATGAACATCCTTACATACAAATTTCTATTTAAGATCTTGGGGTAAATTCCTAGAATTATATTAGCAGATGGAAAACCTGCCCTTTAAAGTGTGTGGTTTATTCCTCTCAGACTCCACATCCTTTTGTCATCATCCAGTTTTGGTTAAGGAGAAAAATTTTGTACTACATCATTGCAATTAGCTGAGTAACAAGAATTCTGTGATGCTAAGGCAGAGAAAACTGCCCTCCATTTTCAATATAAGCCCTTTGCTAGACCACCAGTATCTGCTCTGAAATCACTGGAAGAACAGGTTCACCCACATTCCACATCTGCCAGCGGATTTCATCTCAGGGCTATGGATTTGTTGGCCCAAATGGCCATGTGGTGGCTCCCCATTGGCCCAAAGCAGGGATGTTATGGATTATAACATCCTTGAAGAAACACATCTTTTCAGTTTAAGGCAAATACTTGAAACTAACAGATGGGAAATGTTGCCCCTATCCCTTGTCTCTGAGGGTGAAATAAAAACAGGTTAAATAGACTTCTGACTAATGTTCCCTCTTGCTTGTCAGAAACCTCTTTCTCCCCTGAACCCATAGTACTATCATTGCCAAGAATTTCTCACCACCCTTGTTCTCCCTTGGATTCTGGCCAACTAGGCATGCTTCTTCTTAGAATCACCTTTTGCCCTTCATTCTGACCTTACACCTTTGTAATTCCTCAAATCCATGGCCTTGCTAATGTCTTCCCCATGACCATGCTGTAGTTTATCCCTGCTGAAATTCTTTGGTAGACAGAAATAGAAAAAATCAAAAGAAGAGGCCAAAGAAACAAATTTTATGAGTTGTTAACTTTAACATTCTCAGTCCATGTTTCACCAAGACTGGCTGTGGTTCAAGAGCAACTCTTCCTGGACTATGCCTTTGAACAAGTTACTATATAAATAGTAGAAGGTTCTCCTAGTCTCTAATGCCATCAGATATTCATTCAAGCATCAGCCCATTTGATCACCCAAGTCCAGGGCAATTGAGCCATCAAGTGTTTTTCAGCCTTAGAGATTTTCTCCTGGCGCTCACATCACCCTCCAGAACCTGTAACAAAGGGCTCCAGTGGCCTTCCGTGAGCTCTGGGCGGAGTGCCCCCACGCCTGGCCACCTGCCGCCTTGGCAGCCAGGAGTTCCGGTATCACATAAAAACTTGCCAGCAGGGTCATTCTCCAGCAACAGATAGACTCCCTGCATTTGTGGAGACTTGAGGAGCCCACTGGACCCATTGTTTGATGGCGTCCTGAGGGCTGTTTGTTCCCTTGTGAATTGCCTGTGGAAAGGACATCAGCAGCAGAGAATTCCTGTGTGTTTGTGGAGCAAGAATGGCTAGATTCCTTTGAACTAGACCAGGAACCAAAAATCTTTCTCTTTCTCTCTCTCTCTTTTTTTTTTTTAGCCCTTAATGTAGTTCAGAGATAATTTTTAATCCCTTTTACTAATAGTGAAATGCAAGCATTTTGCTTAAACTTTGCAGATGAATCCATTATTCATAGTTCCACTTCTGTAACAGATTAGCATTTTCAGGAATTTTCCAGTATCCAGGGAAATGCAGGAGTTTACTTCTATGGTGAAAACTTCCCTGTAGGTAAACTCTTCAGAGAATTGATGTGACCCAACCCAGGTTATTCTTATTTCCCACTTTTAAAAACAACCCTATATGATTCATTCAGAAAGTGTTAGCCGCAGGCTTTGAGACTTCCCCACGCCTCTCACCCACTGTTAAGAAAAACCATGGTGAAAAGACTAAGTCATTCCCATTGGATTATGTATAAAAGGACCCTAGAAGATTCATAGTGTGGATGGAACTTAAGCTCAGATTTCCTCACCATTTGGTGTAACTGACTGGCCAGGTATACTGAGTCCAGATACATCAGAATGATCAAATGTAGTGATTACTAAATGCCAAGCAACATCAGACCCACGCTTGTGAATGTTTTATATAATTTGGAATACAGACACTAACTGGGAATTGTCTGGTCCTTGCAGCGTTTTTTTGTCCTGGATAATGGAATGTTAAAGTATTCAAAGGCACCACTTGATGTAAGTAGCACACAGGACATGTTTCCAAGATTGACTTAGAATTCTGCTTAAAGTGAGTAAATACCGCATTTGTTTAAGCCTTGTGCCATAGTTACCACCTTTGTGCATTTCTGTGCCTGTAAGATTTAACAAGCTACCAAACTTCCATGTTCCATGGAAGGTATGTTTTATGTTTCTGCTCAAGCTAACACAAACATCTCAAACCAGTGCATGAAGATTTAACAATTGTGATACGTGTTGTTGAAAACAAAAGCTTCAACCTAAAAGCGACACACTAATAAAAATCACCATTTATGTCTTGGAGAGAAAAAACCCAAATAGGCTGCCTTCAGCACCTCTCAATGAAATATGCTTTATGTGCTTTTTTGAGATTTAAAGCAACCTTTGTTCTTGCCAATATCCTTTTAAAACCTGTCTTATGAATTTCATTTCTGTTTCATACATGCTTTTGTCTTAGGAATCTCAACACTAAAATTATTCAAAATTATTTTTCTTTAATATAAAACATACTTGTTTGCATGCAAAACTGGAAAACTCCCCTCTTCCTATCACTGTGGTGGAGGGGAAATAATAGAGGGCTCAGATTCAGTTTTGTCCCCACATCTTCCGTTGAGTCAGCTGTGTGTCCTTGATCAGACCAGGGCAGCCAGGAAGAAGAGATGATTGCTATATGCTTTCTGGCACCAGCTTCCCAGTGCAGCCCAGCAGATGTCTTCTAGCTGATTACTTGGGGACGTTCTGGGTTGTAGGTCAAAGACTGACCATAGTTATTTTAGGAACTACTAAAGATATCTTTCAGGGGATATATGCTGTGCAATCTAGAATTATGAAGAATTGACATTACATGTTATGCCAAAAATAGGAATAAGAGATGAGTAGTCTTACTTTTTGAAATTAGTGTGAAGTTGCTGGAATTTCAACTGTCTTCAGATTAAGGACCTTAATCTTAGAACCTTAGCTGTTTTCTCTTTGTAAAGAAGGTGTGGCATTCCATTTCCCATATGTATGTTAAAGATTACCTTAAACTCAATACAAAACACACCAAATCATATATCCTTCCAGGCTACTTACTAGTCTTTTGATTTCAGATTCAAAAAGGGAAGGTCCATGGGAGCATCGATGTTGGACTGTCGGTCATGTCAATTAAAAAGAAAGCACGGAGAATAGACCTTGACACAGAAGAGCACATCTATCACTTGAAGGTCATGTCACTTTTCAGCAGTTTCTCTGCCATTATCAGGGAAAATCATTTTCCTTTTTCAAACAGGAGATTGGTTTCATCATTAACTTCTCCTCTTATTCATTGTTGCAGGTGAAATCCCAGGATTGGTTTGATGCATGGGTCTCCAAACTACGCCATCATCGATTGTATCGGCAGAATGAAATTGTGAGATCACCTAGAGATGCTGGTTTTCACATATTTCCTTCAACCTCCACAGCTGAATCCTCACCAGCTGCTAATGTTTCTGTTGTGGATGGAAAGGTATGAGTTTGTTATTTAAAAATCAGCCCAGAAATTGCTTGGGAAGTTATGCAAACATATAACTGAGTCACATTTCACAAACCAAAAAGACACTCAGACGGCAACAGTGACATTTGGCATCAAAGTTTATCATAAGTATACATTAGGTGGAAATGTAGATCTCCAAGAGAATTAACAGTTACTTCTCCTTTCTGTGAATGGTCTACATCTGAATTCTATATGACTTTGTAGGAATATTATGATGTAGAGTGAACATTTGGTTAATCAGCACTAGAAACTGGTGTCCTTCTGGGTGGCAATAAGAAGACCACAAAATTTTGAAAATGAAAGTTGCTTTCCTGCCTTAAGCTGTTATATATACATGACCCTAAGAGAGACCAGTGAATTTCTCTGTGAAGTTAATGCAAGCAGGCTGGCAGTAATATAAGTAGTAGCCCACTTGAGTGACTAGGCACTATATTAAGCATTTATATCTAATTCATATCTAATGTCTAATACAGCCAAAGCTCAGAGACATAGAGAATTTCTCCAGAAGTTACATAGCCATTAAACAGCTGAGCCAGGATCTGAATCCCCCTCTCTGTTACCAAAATCAGTGCCCTTTCCACTGCACCAGATATCAGAATAAGGGAGGCTGAAGTTGTTCTTTGTGCTGCATTAAGAGTTCATCATCTATGTTGCTGAAAATCTAGAGATGTTGCCTGTTAAAAATCAAGGTTAAGACAACAGGGAGACAGACAGCTGTTTCCGCCTTTGATTCAATAATTAAGTTTCCTGAACCACAGCCACAGTGCACTGCCCAGGGCTGCCCCCACCTCTCATGATACTGAGTGCAGAGACTCTGTGAATGACTGGCTGCCACAAGGAGCTGGATTCAAGAACATTTCTGTGAAGATTCTGCTTGTTTCTGTTTTCTTATATAGGCACATATGTAATACATATATCCAGATTTCCTTTGCAAAGTATTGAGAGAGTAACTGCAAGGCTAATCAAATCAGATGAAATACTACTGTGTTGAATTTTTGCTCTTTCAATGGAAATTACTGAGAATTTTTGTTGAATCCATTAATCGTATTTCCCAAAGCTCTCAAACCTTATTTCATTGTGTTGGAACCTTGCCAGGAACTGTGTCATCATCTTTCTCCTAGGAGCAGGGTGCTGGGTTCACCCTAACACTGACCAGGTATGAGAGGCAGGAGAACCGACCAGGAGGTCAGGGGGCTAGGGCATCGGGCACTTCCTCAGCGGCCCAAGCCAAGATGCTTGAGACAGTCCGCGTGTTTCTCTGGGGCACCTGTGTTCTCAGCACAGAAGAGAATGAATCCTCGAGTTAGTCCAAATTAAACAAGAAATGTATCCCAGATGGATATTTTAAAGATATAAATGTTTACTCCTTTGGTTCTTCCAGTTTCTACCTGTGTCTTTGGCACAGTGTTGAGAAAAGCTGTATTCTTTTAATCCCTTGTGTTACCTATTAAATAACTTGGGTGATACTCGAGAATGGAGAACTGAGCCAAATCCTCCCCACTGTTTGCCTTGGTTAAAATACTCTTCAACTCTGGCTTTCACAGACAATGTATTGCTCTCATTACAAATGATGTACCTCTAAGATCGAACTCAGTGAAAGATTTCCATTACATTTATCAAAGTGCAGTAAAGAGTGAAAAGAGCTTCTTATCACTGTTTGCATTCTAAGTATCAAATTACAAGACTCCTGAATGTTAATTGGTTTGTGGCCCTGTGTGGGTAATAAATAAGTCTGGGTTGGCTGTGTGTGTGCAACATTGACTTCATAATGATTTAGAAGAGACACAGCAGTTGCAATAGAATATTAAAGTCAAATATGGGGTTTTAAATTTGTCTCAGATTTTGGGGAAATAATTTTTTTCACAGAAGGTTTACTGCTCTCACTTTAATATCTACATGCTTCATACAACTTTATTCCACATAAAATCCCTTTAATGGAGAGCCTATCAGCTATAAATAATAATACCTTGCCAAGACTGCCTTTTTACATGTTATAATTTTCAGTATGCATTCAAAGCATTGCAAACTGCTTGCTGGTGGTTAATGTATTTAGGAATCCCATGTGGCTGTTGAAACCTTGAGCTAATCATAGGGTACAGAGAGATTATGGAAGGAAAGGCCTTCAGACATGAGTTAAGAGTACAGCAATGAGAATACTGTATCAGATACAACTTGCTAGCAATTACAAATTATTGAGAATTTGAGTTGGTGAGTGCTTGTGAGTATGAGATACAGCTGTTGTCCCCTTCATTGTAAGGCGGAGATAGCAGCTTAATGAGAGTGTTGCTATTCTTTAAGAATTTGGTCTTCACTGAGCACAGACCACAGTCAGCTGAGAGGCTTCTTCCCTATTTTTAGTGTGCCCTTTCTTCCTCCCTTTTTAAATGTTGCTTCAAAGATAACATGGATTTTTTAAGCACTTACGGGTATTGTTCCTGCTTAGCCACACTTCGGTTTCGTCCATTGCAGGTGCAAGCGAACAGTTTCCCCTGGCAGTCGCCTTTGCCCTGCAGCAACAGCCTCCCTGCCACCTGCACAACCGGCCAAAGTAAAGTGGCAGCCTGGTTGCAGGACTCGGAAGAAATGGACAGGTGTGCAGAAGGTCAGTTCTTGCCCGGATGGGCTATCAGGATGAGAAAAAAAAAACAGAAGGGATGAGTCATGAGTGCTGCAGTTTCACCCCCAACCCCTCGATGGCCTCTACCTTTCCTTTTCCTGACTCATGTATTCGGATCCTCCTCCACTCATGACCCCAGCTTCTTACGTGTCCATTCCCCTGCGCCCTCACAACTGCTAATTTGGTTTGTCCTTATCCTGACTTCCATCCGCCTCACCCTTCTCACCTCCTCTCACTGCCAGTTGCCTCCCGGCTTCATTAGCCTCCCGCGTGAACCCTGGGGGCAGTCACACGGTGGGTGCAGCCTTCAGGGCAGCCTCCAACCCCTGCCCTCGCTCCTGACCGTCTGTGAGGTCCTGTCCGTAGCTGCCTTCTCTGCTGCTCCGTCTCACCCAGGGAACAAGTGCACATTTCCTGGTGATCTGGCAGTCAACAACCGAACTGTACTGCATCCTACAGCTGCAGACCTGTTAGTGGTATTGCACTCTGGGTCAGTTAATAAATATTCTGACCTTCTGCACAGTGCCCTCACTTTGCCATCTTTGAGCCTCTGAAATCTCCGGAAACTTTCTCCTCCCTTGTCATTGGCCTGAACATATTGATCCAAACTGAGTGCACAGGCCATTTCCATTCTGTGAGATAGTTTGTCCTCATTTGTCCTTCAAAAATGAGAAAAACAAGGATAACAAAGTATTTAATGAAGTTTAAATTGATTTGATTTTTTAGATTATTTTGAGATGATGGCAGACCTAACTTTTTTAATATTAAATTTTTTTCTTTTATGATATGGTGCAAGTAGATACTAGGTTCATGTACTCACTTAGAAAATTTGGCAATTGGTGTTGGTACCCCAACCAAAAACATTTTTTTTTGCTCTACACATATGTGAACTCAAAGTCTGCAGCATTTTTCTTAGCCCTCTATACATCCCAAGCTCAATCTTTATGTGAAAATATGATTTTAAGAGAGATGTTGTATTCATAAGGCATGTCCAGCTAACATTCCATTAAAAAGGTTTTACTTGAATGTATTCATAAAATACACAGCTGTGAATTTGAGTATATGAGCATCAGGTTGGGGAAAGGGGCCAAGCCTGACTTTCCTGGAATACCGCATGTTCTCCTCAGCAGCAGTTCCAGATGTTTCAGCCTCTCCCCCAGGCTCCCCTATGCCTTACACATGCTCACAGCCTTTAACCTGGCCATCTACATCGCTGAAAAGATTGAGAACCAACCCTTTGGACAAAATCTGTTCATCTGAGCAAACTGAATAGACCATGGCTTTGACACCAAGAAGCGCCTGGCTGAGAGGAGGGGCGCTCCCCAGTTCTACGCGCGCACCCTTCACCAGCCTGCGGGTGCTCCTCCTCTGCATCCTGACTGCCCTGCCTGCGTCCACCATCCTGCCTTGCTGTTTCCTTTCAGCTTTTAGTGCAATAATTATCTCTTGGGGACAGGCTCATCTTCTTTGCTTCATTCCTTCCTGCTCTCTATCCATGGACTCCAGCTTCTTTCCCGTAATTTGACCTTTGCTCTGTTTGCTCAATGGGAAAAGCCCTGGAGGTGGCAGGAGGCCATCTGGTTTATGCCCTGTTCTCAGGCCTCATCCTCTGACCTGCCCTGCAGGACCTTCTCTAGTGAGCTTCCTCCCTCAGCTACACGAGGTGTTCCTTTTTCTCCCACTCATTCTCCTGTTTCACTGGATTCTCCTCTGGCCAGCATTTGTAGTGGGGATGATCAAGATTTAGTCCTCTGCTTTCAGCTTCAATAATCATACCCTTGGTTTGTTGGGTGCTCTTTATGGGCCAGGCGCTGACCTGAGAGTACTTCCCATACATGATTGTATGTAAACAGTGCCAGGTAGGAAGTATGAACCATATTTGTATAGAGAAACCAGTCTCAGAGAGGTCAAGTAACTTGTCTGTGTTTATCCAAGTTCTTGCAGGGCAGAGCCAGAAGGCTAACCAAGGCCAGCTGGATTCTGGGGACTGTGCTCTGTGCTTTGGCGGTGACTGGCATGCTTATAGTTTCACCTGAAATCTCTATGTTGATGATGATAATGGTGCTGGTGGCAGCTGATAGGTGTGGGCACTTCCTCTGTATCAGGCATTGTTCTCGGCATTTTATATGCATTAACTCATTTAATCCTTTCAAATGCATTTTACAAATGAGAACACTTAGGCCTAGAGAAGGTAGCTCACTTTGACCAGGCTCACACAGCTCAGCACAGTGGAACTGGGGTTCAGACTGTGGCGGTCTGACTCCAGAGTATGTGCTTAATCATGACACCATATTCCTCCAACGGGCTGAAAACTCTTTTTAAACCTCAGATCTCTGTATCCAGCCTGTGCTGTATTCCCATTGCTTTGCCTCGCTATTGGCCCTTTCTTTCTATACTCCCTCTCTCACCCTCTTCTCAGCCTGTCAGAGACCAACTCTCAGTCTCTTCCTTGAAAATGGCCCCAGTTCCTGGGCTTCCATTTTCCACAGCGCTGTAGCCATAACCACCCCTGAGACTTCAGCATCACCTGTAATCCCCAAACCTGTTCATCCAGCCCTGATGGTGGTGCTATTTGTTTGAAAACTTGCTCCCTCTTGCTGGTCCTCACACTTCCTCTCAAATCCCATTTCTGCTTTCCTAACCCAGGCCCGATCACCCACTGTCCCGTCAGTCCTAAGCCTCCTGACCACTGTTCCCACCCTCAGTCCCTTGCTCTGCTGCCCCATCTCTCTCAGAGACTCATGGGAAATTACTCTTCTCAAACATGTTTGCATCCATGGGCCAGCACTGGGCAGGCATTATTCCACTGCATTCAGTCATGAGATGTAGGCATGCTGCTGTCTCTACTTTGCAGATGAGGAAAGTGAAACGCTCAGAGGTTAAGGAATTTGCCCAAGATTACACAGCAGCCCTGGGGAAAAGGCTGGGACTCCAGCCAACCCCATGTTTGACTAACCTCAAAGTTAACTCTTTGTCCACTATGTAGTGCTCCCTCAAGACTGATATTTCTTAAAATAGCCTTCATGCAAAACCCAAAATCCCTTCATGTAGTTCTACATGGGGTCCAGGACTTTAATTCAAACTTCTTAGCTTAGAATTTAACATCCAACTTTCAGTCTTCTGGCCCTGCCTAACCTTTCAACCTTGCTTTCTCCACAGGCCCAACTGTACTTACTTTCTGTTTCCTGAACATGTTCAGATACTCCCACCCCATGCCTTTGCACAGGTGGTTCTGCCTAACCTAGGGGACCCTCTCTGCCCTCTGCCATCTTCCTGTTTTGCTGAATCCTTTCCATCAAATTCTCCAGTCCCAGAAAAGATTCCACTCTCTCTTTTAAGTCTGCCCTGATGACTTCAAACCACAGTAACTTTCCCAGCTACCACAGCACTTTTTAAAAATCTACCCTGATCAGTTTCATAGAGAGTCCCAATATTGAGGTTAGTTGTATTTCAACAGTTCATCATGTAACATCTTCTCAAACCCATACTATATCTGATTTATAGTGTTAATACTTAAGAGTGATAAGCTATTCATTGATCTGACTCATTCCAATCCAAAGCTTCTCAAGTGTGTAAAGGAATTGCTTGGCTCTTAGAGAGCGTTTTTTTCCCCATAGAAACAAAATGTTAATTTAGTATTTTATATGCCATGTTTATATATCAGTATATATGCCATTGTTAAAAATGGGTACATAATACTTAACATACAGATTGTTTATTGGGTGCTTTTTTTTTTAACCAGAATGTAAATTGAATTAATATTACTTGATTGCTATTTTCCCTGTGCTAAGAACTGTGCAGGGTACACAGTGTCTTCCCTGGCACTAGTACATAAATGAAATAATAAATGGACAACTTTCGATATACCTCAATTGATTTAACCATTCCACAGTTGGATGACATGTTTCTTTTTGGAACAAGGCATGATGGGAATATAAGTAAACTGCTAGATATTTTTAATTTAAAATTTTTCACTATTATAAACCATCTCAGCAGCCATTTCTTGGTATAATTTCTCCTTTTCCCCAGATTCCAAAATTAGATTTAATGGTAATTTAACAAAATTATAGATATTTATTTTTCAAAAAGTATTTTTATTGTCTTGGCAAATTTTATTTTATTGTCTTAGGCAGATTTTAGTTGTCTTGGGCAAATTGTGTTGAGTAAATCTTTGTAATTCTTACATATATATCCAGACACTTAGGCAAACAATGAAATTCTGCCAGGGATTTTATTTCTCCCATATTTCAAATGAGAGAGGTAGCGAGGAATGGTGTGTGGTTTGTTCCAAGATAAAGCCCTGGCAGTACAATTATACATAGTGTGAGCAATATGGCAAAAAAACCATTTCTGCTTTGCATAGAACTTTCTCATCTACGATCTCAGTTGCTACTCTAAATTGGGAAGGTAGTATTACTATCACCACTTGACAGGTGAGGGAATTGCAACTGAGAAGCATAAAAGTCAACTGATGTCTCTTGATGCCTAGTTTTGGGTCCTTTGCCTTCAGTCGAGGTCATTCACAAAGTTCTCTTTCCATTAAGTTAGAAAAAGGAACAATCATTTAATGTAACAGATTTATAGATGTACCCTATTGCAGTCACTTCATAAACAGTACACATACAAAAGTAATCATACAATTGGGAGGCATGTTCTCAATATTTTTTAATTGAGTGTTACTGAAAACTCACTAATCGTGACTGTATTTAATTTCACATGCTAAAAGTCAATTTTTTAAGAGTGATATTTTGTTACACAGATCTTCTAAAAATGCTCTCTTGTTCAAATACAGCCAAAATTTTAAAATAAGATTGAAAGTTATTTTTCTTTATTCTAAACATTAATTCCAACAAAATGAGTTTCATGCCCAGCTGGTGCTGTCGTTGCTGAACCAGGGACACACTGATAACCATAGTTTTGTTTAATATAATGTCTCTGATAGCTTTTAAAGAAGTCATTCATTATTGTCGGTGAGCTAAACTATAGATGAGTATGTTTATTTAGCTTTGTGTTCCATCTTATTTTTCTGAACTTGACTTTGACTCCACCCAACTCCAAGCAGCTGTATTGTAAATCATGGTTCTTAATAATAACACCACAGAGCTGCTGAAGTGCCCTTGAGTGTGCGCCTGTGTGACAGGCGGCACCATCACACAACAAGCACATGATATCACTGGGATTGTAGTGATGTGCTGCACTAATACTGTTAACTTATCAGAGTGGGCTTTCAACTCATCTAATAATTGCTTTAAAGTTCTAAAGTAGAGAAGGGTCCATTTTTTTTCATTTGCCAGTATCATTATTATATAATTTGGATTGACTCCCTTTTATTACCATTATCACTACTCCTACCCAGTTCTAACATATCTTTATTTCTGATTTTGATTAGACCTTGCACACTGCCAGTCAAACCTTGTGGAACTAAGCAAACTCCTACAAAATTTGGAAATACTTCAGAGAACTCAGTCAGCACCTAACTTTACTGACATGCAGGTAAACATATTACTGCTGCTGGTAAAAGGACTTCAGGATATTAATTTAGCCTTCTTATTGGATTGTTCTATGAATATATAAGGTAACATTTAAAGAAGGAGTAAGTACAACACAGATTAGTTCATATTCTGGAGTTATTCTTAAGTAATTTTGAATCTTGGTGTCACTATGTTAATGAAGATGTGTATTTTGAAAAATTTTATATTGAAATATAAACTAAGAAGAAGAAATAAATATCTGAATTACCCTTCCATGTCTGTGTTGCATTAGAAATGATACCTTTGAAGATATACCTTAGATACTCTTAGAATTATTACCATCTTTTCATGTAGAAAAAAGAATGCTTAAGCTCTTTACTCCTGTTTTCCTTTTGTGTATCAGACAAATGTATTTTTTGATTAAGTTCCTCTCTCCGCTCTTAATGCCCACTGTGCATCAGCTAGGCCTTTCTGTCTTGGCTGGTTTGCTTCAGTGTCTCACACTGACTCATTACTAACACGTCTGCTCTCTGTATCATCTGTGTGAACTTAATAATATTTTGTTGCTTTTAACTATTTGTGTAATGTAGGCTAACTGTGTAGATATTTCAAAGAAAGACAAGCGGGTCACAAGACGTTGGAGAACAAAAAGTGTCAGCAAAGATACAAAGTTACAACTGCAGGTACAGACCTTTTTCTTCATTCATATTTCTATATACTGTTTAAATAGTAGTCTTTATATGTCAGTTCATGGAAGGTAAAAGTCTAAAGCAGCTTAACTGCTTTAAAGGCAGTGCTTTTCAAACTGAGTTATATGATCTAAAATAGTGGGAAGTCTATGCTGCTTATTCTGGCAAAGTGAAATGAATTCAAAAGTAAAGTTAAAATTATTTAATATGGCTGCAAAGTGGTATTATCATTCTCAGGTATGCCCTTTGAGCCATTAAAATGTATTTTAACAAAAATTCACCTTGAAAGTCTACACTAAAAGTCCCATGGGATGTAATGAACACTCATTTATATATACTAGATCTTAAATTAACCTTTTATGTGTTATTTTCTTTGTCTAAACTTTTATCTAACAGTAAAAAGGGAGGGAGGTTGCAAAAGATTGGAAATTAACAAACCTGGCTTCTCCTCTGATCACTGTGATTTCCTGGCATAAGCTTGTGCATTCTGTTCAATTTCCTGGGCTTCTATTTGCTCCTGGATAAAGTGATGGAGTTAATAACCTCTGAATTCCTTTTCAACTCAAATTCTATGATTCTACAAAAATAGATATTATTTGGCCATCAACAACTACTTTTAAAATCTGAATCATTAAAATCTTAATGACTCATGGTAAATTTCCTTGGAATTTATTTTAAATAAGTTATTTATTTGAAATGAGTAGTTTTAAATTTTTCAAGTAAGATTATCTTATGTTAGTGCATTGCAAAGATACAAAATATGATAAATGCCTAAAACCTCTTATAACATAAATCTTACTACTTTCATATCTTCAAACTACAATCTCAACTATTCCAGTCCTAGCTGTATATTATAAAAGAACTCTTGCCCTGCACAATCAAAATCAGACTTGAGATTTTGCTTTTGTTTTTTATTACACTATGAATCAGTTTATACTCTAAAGGTAAAAGGAACCACTTTTCAGAATTCTTCAAAGTCTTCTGAATAAATAACAATTATTCTTCTTTAATTCTCATTGTACTGACACTGTATGATATTCTGAATGCATAAATAACAAACTGTTGCTCTGCTTGCTAATCTGATGTATTTGAAAATAAATTTTCATAAGCACCAGAGATCCATGTTACTTAATTTGGAATGTCCACACTCTGTGAACACAATGTTTTTGTGGGTTTTCCCTTCTATTCAAGAAATTAATGCTGTAACAATAAATGTGCCAAACACCTTCACAAGAAAATTACCAAAAATTGCTTTTGGCAGCTTCGTTTGTTTTGAGCTTGCGATTGTCTACTTTTGCAGGGCTTTTTAAAAGCATATGGTATCTAGGGTTATCATAGCCTGGGGGAAAAAAAGGCCATTAAGAAGTAAAATAATTGAAGGAGGCCAGCATCATAGGAACATCTGCATTTGTGGGCAGATATTACTTCAGTCTTGCTTTTAGAAGGTGTGCCATTGAACAGATTACCATTCACAGCTGCCGTCTTGAATAGACAGGTCCTCAAAGAGTCTGAGCAGAATGCCCGTGGCAACCCTGCCGTGGCCACTGGCATAGGCGCCCCATCGCTCAGTTCCGCCTGAAGGAAACAGAATCCAGCTCTGAATAGTCCTCCCAGTCACAGGCTGTGCTTTTCAGTGGAGAGTTTATGAAGACGTTTTAAGGTCGTCAGAAGAAATCGTTCCAATAGCAGGAAAATAGTCTTCATTCATACTCCTGTTCACATCTTTGGGTGGTTTGTTTTTAAATTCCTATTTATGCTGCATTGTTTTTATTTTACCAAAGAGTAACAAAATGGTGCTGTGATTCTAGTTTAATTATTTTTGAGGAACATTAAAATCAATTCATTCCCATACTCCAAGGAAACTTTAAACTTTCAAAAGTAGGATATTTAGTCCAATTCCAAATGAAAATAAATAGACCTGGTCTGGTAGTAAGCTATTAATCACTCCCAGTGAAACCCCACTTCCACTTGGACTGGTAGAACAAAAGCTGTCTTAGGGTGAAGGCTGCATCGCTAGACCTTTTCTGCTCAGGCAAACCAACAAGGCTTCCGGGAGCCCTCCGGGTTCTCATTCTGTGTTACTGGGAAGTTACTTAGCAGTTTCTTCAACAAGCACACTTGGCTGGGGAACCATACAATCAACCAAGGATGATGATCTGTGACCAATATAAATGTCACTACTCTCATCATTTTACCTACAGAAAGGCACAGCTTTTATCTTTATGATAATGGATTAAACATACCCACCACCTTCTCCCACCCTATTATGTAGGTTTTTCCCTCTGGTTTTAAGTGTTTCTTGATCATGGGAGTCCCATCTATTAATGCCAGTTATTTTTCTTGAGCCTATAATTATCTCACTCCTTGAACAGCTTTCTCTGATGGTCCTGGATGCAGCCTGCTTGGAAGGCTTTGTAGTGAGTGGCTCACTTTTCATCCCTTCTGTTGATAGCATCTGGTTCTCTGGTCGTGTGTGAGGAACCTGGACTGCCTGGTATTGCTCACGGTAGTCAGTGTTGGTGCTCGTGGTGTTTCACTGACCTTTGCACTCAGCATCTGTAGTTGTGGTCCCTTTGAAATAATTACAAAATAGATCATTTTTTAACTGACTGAGGAAAGTAAAAATGAAGAACATTTGTACTGGACATTTGACAGCTTATTGTTATGTAGTTTAAACCATTCTCTTGATTCGAAGGTGAAGGTTACATTTGGACTTGTATGGCCTTATTTCTGCTAGAGGCCACTGGAAAGCTAGCCTCAGGAATAATCCACTGTGCGACTCGCTGAAGGCAGCATGTGTCCTGGAAGGCTGTGTGCAGATTATCTTTTAGAAAAAGGACTTCCTCTCTCCCAAACTTTAAATTTCTGGCTCAGTCAGATAAAAGTCTCAGCATCATCTTTAAGCAGTAACAGTTTGGCTGTGTTTTCAATGAGATAGAAGAGGCCAAGAATGGAATGACTTTAAAAGGGTTGCTACAGAAGAGAGAGCTGGTAGGTTTCCTCTGTGATTATTAGCATGAATTAAACATTGGTCCCTACATGTTGGAAAGAATAGGGAAGTATGGAGTAGCAGAAAAATGACCAGATGTCATTCCTGTGTAGCTATTCTAGATCACACAGTTGCTGAAATTACACTAAATGGTGAAAATAAGTTCTTCGTCATTTTATTTACTACATTAAACATAAACAGGTTTTGTACAGAAAACTTCATGGAAAACATATTACATATACTATGTAATAAACATATATAATGTATGTAGGAGATTTATGAAAATGGAAGAGAAAATGTGAATGTAATTTGGAGACTTTACAGAGAATTGGAGATAAAAGAATTTAAAATATTTATCTTGTTCCAAAAAAGACTAAAGCAGTCTTGCTGTTTTTTTCTCAGTCTGGACTGTTATGTGATTCTAAGTATATCTTAGTTGATTGGAATTAAAATTATTGCTTACAACCTTGAAAAGTCGGGGTCTGTCAAATGGATGTAGAGTTGAGTGGTTAGAAGGAAATGTCATTAACTGTTCATCCCCATCCTCCAAAAAGAGAGAAAGGAAAGAAGGCTGTAGAATTCCTCTGCTGGTTTATGCATAGGTGCACATCACTAAATGAAACCTATGCTTTCAGAGTTTTATTGTTCATTTTTCCAACACACCGAAGAAATAGAGATTTTTTTTTTATGCTATGAGGACTGGCTTCCTCCTTGGAAGAATATTCAACATGAAAATCACTAATGTTGAATCCCAGAGAGCTTTATAGTAGGGAATAAATGGAGAGTTGAAGATTCCTGGCCCCCTCCCACCTTATGGTTTCCTCCCAACAACAAACCAAAAAAAATTCTGCCTGGCCAGCAAGAGGCTCTCTCATTACAACCTGTTCATTTCAGCCTTTGCCCACTATTGATTTAATCACTTTTTCCTGAACTTATGTTTTCTTTGCTTCCATTTATTGAATACCTTTGACTTTGCATTGATGAAACAGTATGCACATTTATTTTACCTTAAAGATATCCATCAGTTCATAACTTTCCATCTCCTTTTGGGCTGGGGTTATTTTCAGCAAATAGACTTAAGCATTTGGGTATTATGCAGTGAGAGTGATGCACTGTTCTCACAGCATGAATGCCCCTTGGAGCTCTTTTCAATGCTACAATTTAGGAAAAGTCAACTCCAGTTAAAAACTCTTCCTTTCCCTTGTCTGCTTATCTTCTGTCTCCCATATCCTGTCCTCTTCCTGCCCCGTCCTGTGTGTCCTCCTCCCTCCTGTTCTCTCATTCACTGTCAGGAAGGGCCATCTGCGAAGGGCCAGTTCAGCACAACTCGGCGCCGGCAGAGGCTAGCGGCAGCAGTGGCTACAACAGTGAGTGGATTTCAATCTCGAGTGGACATTTAATAAGAATGAGAAACCATGTACGGGTGTCACCTCCCCAGTTCTACGGGTGCCACAGCCTCCTCAACCATGGCCCCCTCCCGTGTTGGCATAGGTTTCACGTGCTCTCGATCTGTACTTGCATGGCGAGAGTCGCACACGGGTATTGGTGGTGCCAATGGCAAACTACAACCCAGTTCTCTATTTCTACTCTCAGTGTAAGAAACAGTGTCAACTCAAGGGTGTAAAACAGTACAGCTCCCTGTGCTGTGGAATTTCCTTAAATTACACTGTTTTTTTGTTTTTGTTGTTTTTGTTTTTTGCCATACTGATATTGGAACCTTTGGTAACTGATTTGTTTTTCTAAGAAAAGTCATGTTACTACAGACATAAATTATTTTTTTTCCTTGTAGCGATATGACTGTTTGAAAAGGATGTGAGAATAAAGAAATGAGAAAGGAAAGGTAAATTTTGATGTCATCTCTAAATGGCTACCCAAGGTACACTTAGCAAGGGAAAGTTGTTTTCTGGAAAGAATATTGAGCTGAAAATCAGAAACTAGCATGTGAGAAGGAGAAAAACACAGAATGGTGTTTAATCCATAGCTAGAGGTTGGTTTGTTGTTGTTTTTTTTTAAGAGAAAATAAGATAGAAGGGGAATAGAGGAAATGTTGAGATAAGGGAAATAACTAAAAATTAAAATTGAGTAGAAGGTGTTCAGAACAGTGAATTGTAATGCAAAATATAAAATAGAATATGTAAATACAAGAATCCTTTGCCAGATAAAAGTAAATCATAATATTTACTTAATCATGACATCCTATCACATTTTTTTTTAATACAGCCTACTGAATTCATAGCAATTGTGGGTGTTAGGGTTTTTTTGGCTATTACATAGTATTTCCTGGCTAAACAAAAGTCTTGCTCTTGCTAATGATCGAATATATTTTAGGATTAGAATTGCTGAAAATAAAAGGTTTTGGTTGTGCTGTAGGAGAATGGATACTGGTGTGAAGATTGTTGGCTTTCTGCATTTTGGTCAGTCGCTGACTCTTCCTTTACATCTGGGTGCTTTTGGCTAGATTGTTGGCTAGACAGAATCGTTTTTGATTATGATGAACTAATGACTTGGAATTTATTAGGCAAGTGATTCACAGTTTTGTGAACATTTGAGACAAATTATTGAACTTGATTTCACTGCTAATGTATATCTCACTCATAGATTCAAATGCAGATAAATGAAGTACTTGACCCTGATGTGGTAACAGATTCTGAAAATAGATACGTGTAAGATCAGTTAAATCATTCTTAAATGTAATCTTTCATTTATAACATTCAGAAACTCTAATGATGATTTGAGAGAGTATGGCAAGGAAAGGTCAATCATTTTGTGAAAATATTAATGTTTCTTGAAATAAGGTATTTCTGAGATGGCATGCAGAGAAGTGACTGTTTCTACTCTGTTCATTTTTTAATTGCAGATACATACAGTGACTACAATAAAATAGGGATTAAAACCTACTTAAACAGAATGGGTTTTTATTTTTTTAAGTTGAAAGTGGAAGAGAAAAAGCTTTTAAAAGAGGAAGTGTTAGTGTCCACTTCCCAAGGTAGCTGTGACCACAGCAGTTAAGAAATAACTTAGATGTACCTAATGAGAAAAGCTGACAACATTTAGTAATGCGTTCAGAAATAAGTAGAGGGCAAGGTTACTCCAAACCCTCTAGGATTTACAGCTTTAACTTCACAGGCCACCTATAGAGCCCAGTCTAGCAGCATCCTCAGCTGGCAGCCCTGACCCCTCATACACACACTGCCACCTGACACTGATGACTCAGCCCCACTATTTCTCTTAGTACAGTGGTTCCCCTTAATTCCCAGTCCCTCCTCTTCCCAATGCTAAAGTTATGCCACTCAGTTTGAGCCTAGCCTACCCTGCTGTGTGCCTTTTACCTAGAATTTTTCCGAATGACTCCTAGTCCTTGTTCTCCTGCAGTGAGTGGATCCACTCAGGCATCTGGGGCAGTGGAAATTGCTCCCAAAGAAAAGAGCACTCCAAGGAGATGTGCCAGAGATTTACTCTGGTTGATTCTCAGCACTAGAACCCAGAATGGCCCACTTACAATGTCAGCCAGACCCAACAGATTAGGGGTTTGGAGAAAGGGCAGCCCTGGCCCCCCCGTGAAACACACCTGGAGAGGCAGCACCCTCCACACTCCTCACGAGGACAGCCGTGCCATGATGTGGACTAACAACAGCAGGAGACTCTTTACTTTGGCTCCATGAGTTGTGTAGGCTGTCTGTCTTAGACCTGCTATTGTGTGTTCCCATTTCATTTATGTTTAATGCAGTTTTAGCGAACCATTGCTAAATTTGGGTGCCAGACATTCCACTGTCAATCCATTTCCCTTTTGACTTCTTTATAGGCAGGTGTTAAAAGTACCTCCTAACATCCCCAGTCCAAACTGCAGTTAGTGGTACAAGAATGTTCCAGGATCAGGCTTCCTCCCTGTTACAGGGTCTCACAGGAACCTTGGATTTCTTCCCTGAGCAGCGGAAGGCTGCATCCAGCATGGAGGTTACATGCTTGGGTACAGACATTGAGAGCTATGGACAGCTCCCACTCCAACCGTAATGGCAGGGAGTCTAGTTGCCACTGGAATTTTTGAATCCTATAACACCAAAGTAATGCATAAAAATCTGAGTAAATATCTCCCCAGGCTAAAGAGAGATTCAATTTGCAGTTAGAGTAATAATGTATCTCAATTTGTATTCTCAATTTCATTTCATGAATTCTTCAATTAAAATGACCCATTCCATATACATTTTTAACAACAAAAAAAATCTCAATATAAACACTTTTAGTCCAGAGTATATAAAAATTAGCTTTCACCTTCCCAGGAAAGAGTCTGATTGTGGTTTGAATGGAGCATTTTGAGTCCCTTTCCCTGTGGATTATATACAAGATCATTTTTTAACTGCCAATTTAAACTTCCATTATGGTCAAAATATAAATCTGTAACTTATGTTTTTCTTCTTAGTGTCTGATTCCAACTTTCAAATAGAATGGCCATTATCTCAGGGACAAATCTAGGTCCTTACTTGATCCTCTGGGCCTCCACTGCACCCCGATCTCCTGTTGCAAGCTGTACCCCAGCCTCCACACCTGCTGAAGGGAAGGGACCTCTCATCCTATGCCTAGGTGAAGCGCGGGGAGCACCTGAGTATAGATAAAACACTTTTCATGATCCTCAACACTTTATATTTCCATCACCAAACAGCCACATTCCTTTTTCTTAAATCCTCTTCCAGTTCCTTGTACCAGAAAACCATACCTTAAATCTGAAGACTCCCTGATCTATGCATTTCAAGTCACAGACTCTCCCATGACCTCCTAATCTCCACAACCTTCCCGTGGATTCTGTCTCCCTCTTAGGACTTTCCCAGCAAGTTGCCCTCCTAGACTGAGCATCACCACAGTTAAGGCCAGGATTTTCCTGTATCTATCTTCAAATAGTCTTCCACATAAATCCCCTTTATAGGCATTCCCAAAGACCTCAGTCATTAGTATCACCACACCAGGTTCTAAAAGTTACCAGGACAGGATTCCAGCAAAGTATTGAACTCAAGAACTCCATTTTCTCAAATGGCTTAACTGCCACTTTTGTGTCTGTTCTCTGGAATAGCTGGAAATTCTGATCCTGATGATATAAACAAGCTGTTGACATCTTCCAGCCCAGTATAACCAAGGTCCCCATGGAGGATGAAGTAAAGTTACTTTGATAACTCCAGATACCAAATGCTTTGGATAGGCTTAGCTTAGCTGAATCCAGGGGGTAAGCTTCATGCTCACTTCCTTCCCCAGTAAGCTTTGGATACTTGAATGTCTTCTAGGATAAATTACTGCTTACTAGGGCAAAGCTACATCCAAAGGACCCTCTCTAGTCTCAGCTGTCCTCACCCAGATCCACAAACTGCAGCTCAGGCTAGATTTGTGTTTCTCTCTTGCTCTCCTTCCATATCCTCAGGTGCACACACGTGCTCGTTCTCCCCCACCCCTCTCTCCCCTTCCCCACTCCCTCCTTACCTCCTATTCTTTTTTTCTGTCAGGAAGTTTAAAGCTAAACCAAAAAATGAAAACAAAGGAAGTGGTTCTGGTACACATACACATCAGACAAAATACTGGTTCCTTCCTCTAATAGCATATTCCTGTTAGCTAGAGAGTGTGAATTATCCTTTAATTTATACAAAATTCAGTGTGTGGAGGAGTCTGAGTCTGATTCATGGAATAATTAAATGAACATCTGTGCACTAAGAATTAGGGCAGGTTACCGGTGATCTGATCTGCAAGAGGAACTGGTATTCTCATTTTTCAAGAGCATTTGGCTGACAGCATTTGGAATGGTCAGGTAGAACTTTGGAGGAGAGGGAAAGTGCTTCGCCTTTACCCTTCAGTAAGCCTAGTCCAGATCCAGCCTGAGCAGGAAAAGTACCGCTAGCCATCTGGAAAAATCTATAGTAATATGACTTTTTTTATTTAATGCTTTTCAATACTGGCTGGTTCATAAGCCATGTTCATGTATGTAACATACAAAGGTAAACTAGTAATTTACATAAACACATTCATTAACATTTTAATAAATCGATTTCAGATTTAATTGTGAGTCTCACTAAGCCATTATTATCTTTACTATTAAGCTTGTTTATTTAATGGCCATGGAGCAAGGGAATCTTTCTGTATAGATTCCCTTTAGAATTTTTACCTGTCCAGTAAGCTTCTGCTCCAGGCTCAGAAAGAAATGAGCATGAACAGCCCTCTGACACAAGTGCCCAGACTTTGTAAGAGCAGGTCAGTTATGTCACAGTTCAGGCTACCATTTTCTGTCAGTAATTTCTTAGATCCAACTGTGAGTTCAGAGCTGAAGCTTCTCTGGGATTATGCCTTTTGCTCATGTCATTCTGTAGTCATTTCTCCCTGTAAAAAGTGAAAAGCCAGTGAACAGTGGCAGTACTATGTCAGTAATAGGCAATGAGACTCCATCCTACCCTAACCACCTGCAAAATAAATGAATAAATAAGTGTCTCAAAGTGTGTCATCACAGAGGAATCTGTTATTTTGAAAAAGTGAAGAGATCTTTTCTATGAGTGAATGTGGTCCGTGCACTATTGCGTTTTAATAACTGGTGCCTTCCCCTCTCAGGTCCCTTTCAGTGCTACCATGTCTCCAGTTCGCTTGCATTCCTCCAACCCCAACCTTTGTGCAGATATTGAATTTCAGACTCCCCCTAGCCACCTCACTGACCCTCTGGAAAGCTCAACGGATTACACAAAGCTTCAGGAAGAATTTTGTCTCATTGCACAGAAAGGTAACAATGAATATAATGTGCCCTTCGGAAGCTCTCTTCTTTGGGGAAAGGTTGCCATTTACTCTCATCCTTGTCTAGGGTCATGGTAGGAAAATTAAGTGGTTTTATTCTGGTTGGAGTTCTACACACAAAATGCATGGGGACATGATGCCTACCTCCTGGGAGAGCATACATCATAGGTTTACAGTTTGACTGAATAAAGAAGGTGTCATGGAAGGGGTAAAAAGAAGAAAGACATAGTTATCCTAAACAGGCCAGCAGACACTACTACTCAGTGGGGTTTTTTTTTTTTTTTCCAGTATCTTTTTGTAGTCATTTAATACATACTTGTAGGTTGTCCTTAGCAAGGAAAAAGAAAAATAGATTCTGTGTGAATCTTTTTTTTTTTTTTTTAACAAGCAAAACTCATTGTACTTTACAGTCTGTGGGCAGGAGTTGAGGCAGGGCTCGGGTAGGCAGTTCTGCACCATGTAGCATTGACTAGGCTCACTCGGTGGTATTCGGCTGGCAGCTGAGAGGTGCCACCCATGTACCTGGTACCCAGGGGATGGGTACAGTCATGTCCCTCTACCCCTCCATGGCAGCTCAGGGCTCCAAGAGAATCGAATGGACTGGAGTGGAAGATTCTATTGCTATTCAAAGCCAACTCTGGATTGGCACAGAAATTCTGCATTCTGCTGGTCGGAGCTTCACAGGCCAGTCCAGATCTGAGGGAAGGGTTAATCAACCCCACCTTGGAGTGTCTTTTTTAATGTGTAATGTTCAATAAGGCATGTTGCATAAGTTCAATTACTATCATCAGCCACAGGGTGTAAGATACAATAAATAAGCAGAATAGTAGAATGTAGGTACACTGAGCTGTCGTGTGTTTACTAGGAAAAGCCTCAGCTCTTAAATTAACTCCTGCCCTTATTGCTCTAGTATTTAAATTTCAGCCGCTGAAATTCATTTTTTGACATATACCTCCCCAGGCAATGTCTTTTAAAATACATGATCTTTTGGAGGTAGATACACATTATATTGTTTTCAGTCAGTAACACCTTATGGTGAATTAACCACATATATGTCCCCACAGGCTGCTGGTAATAAACTATAAAATATTCTTGAAAATGTGTATTAAATGGACATCTCAAGTGCCCCCCGTAATACTCAAGAGCCTGGTGGCTCAGGAAAATAGGCACATTCAAGGGCATCTCTGGGATTGCTGAAGTTAACAAAAATTTATACTCAGCAAACCATCAGTAAAGATATGCCATTAGATAGGTACTTCTTTAATTCCATACCTAAAACAGTTAAGCTAAATTATCTCCCCCCTTTTCTTCTATAGAATTCTCAATTGGTTCCTCAAGGCCAACTATAACATGCTATTTTACCCCTAGCACATTTTATTACGTTTCTTTGCTGGGTGCTGATTGAGCCATTAGACCAGAGCAGTGTTGTTTTGTTGATACACTGGCATAGATTTATGGACAGTAAAGCCAGTAACTTTTATTTCTAAAAGTTGTAGGAGCATGTAGGATGAGACAACAAATGTGTGAGTTTAGTATAGCACAGCTTCTTCGGCGAGATGAATAAATTTGAAGGTAGTTCCAGGAAAGCTCTGTGTACTTGGTTGCAATCCTGAGGCTTTTAGGAAATCCAAATTTCAACAGAATTTTAAAAGCTCTGTTAAAACAACATGTTTTCTTTTAAACTGAGTTAGGGAAAAAAGGGACTTTTCTATTACTTTTTTTTTTCCTATGACTATTGAGTGAACTCTTTAGAAAGAATTCTGGATTTTGAAGTTAGTGAGAGCCCACTTTTAGAGCTGCCAGTATTCCAGCTATCAAGTTATTACTGTTAAATTGATGATGACAGGAAGTAGCACATAAAACAGTAATTGTGAGTCCCTTGTGGTCCCACCATTTTTACTTTTAATTCAGGCCACTGTTGTGCACTAAAATCTTCAACTTCTATTAAAAATAACCTTTCTTAAATAAGGAAATTCCTATTTTGGAAGACGACTTATTACAGAAACTTTCTTACAAAGATAGGAGTTGGAAATGCAACCTTTTTATGTTTCATAGTTAAAGACTGTCTCAGCCTCTACTGATGTATGTTAGGTATGCAGAAATGGGGGGAGGGTAATTTGCTTTATTTTGTTTTATTTTATTTCTAGCTTTATCGAGATACAATTGCCAAGTAACATTGTGTAAATTCAAGGTACACAACGTGTTAATTTGATCCACTTATATATTGCAAAACGATTGCCACCATAGCATTAGCTAATACCTCCATAGTGTCACATAATTGCCAATGTTTTGTGGTAAGAACATTTAAGATCTACTCTTTCAGCAACCTCCAAGTGTATAATGCAGTATTATTAGCTATAATCATCATACTACTGTACATTAGATTCCCAGACCTTATTCCTATTATAACTGGAAGTTTGTACTCTGAAAGCACTCTTGACATCAGCATGTTCCTGGCTGAGAAAGTAATGCAAGTGCTATTCTTAAAACCAAATCATTTGCTGCCTCAAAGAGAACTATGTAGAACTTCTAATTTAGCTGCCTCTTTTATGTTGGCAGGTTTTATAAAAGTGCTGTTTTTTTGGGTTCATGCTTTTGGGAAATAAATTTTGGATAGTTCTAAATGGTTTGCATGAGACTTCATTGTACACAGAACTGCTCAGATATTCTCATCAACTATGGAGAGTAAAATTTGTTCCATTTTTTCTAGGAATTATAGGTTAATTTTCAAAATACTGATTTTTTAGAATCAATTTTGATATTTTATATGCTGCTTCTGAAATCTTTGTTGGCTTGTCTAGTATAAAATGCTGAAATTTTCACACTGATTAATTACCAGATTCGTTTTGTGTTTAAATATTCTGATAGATTCTACTTTAAGATTGACTTTTAATTAGACTATAACATAACCCTTCCAGAAAAATGTCTGTGCAAGAATTAAAGTGCTGAGAAGTTTATAACTCTGTATATTCTTTCCAGACCCATTTGATGTTTTGTTTCTTGCTCTCCACCCCCCATCCAGTGCATTCTCTTTTGAAGTCTGCATTTAATAGCATAGCTATAGAGAAGGAGAAGCTGAAGCAGATGGTTTCTGAGCAGGAGCACAATAAAGGCCAAAAGCAGATGGCACGGCTCCGACAGTCACTGGCTCAGGTAAATGAGAGGATTTGTTTTACTCTGACCCATCCCCAACCCAGTGAGGCAAAAGATGGGGGTAGAGGCAGCCCAACACAGAAAGGGCACATTCATCTGAAATTCTCCCAAGACACTGCAATGTCAGGAGTAAATATTAATAGAACAAAATCTGTTGGGTCTTCCACACTTAGTATTTACCCCCACATTCAATAAATTTTATCTGTTGAAAACTACTGATTACTGTTACCTATTTTTTTTTCTTTTCTGGTTGGCACTCTTAGGATTTTCTTCATATCTAAAGTTATGCTCCCTGAAGCTAGGCTCTTATATATCAATATATATCATGCATTATAATATATTCAATATGTGTTATACATTATTCAGTACATACTATATTGATCATATTAATAATAATCAAAGTTGAAATTTCTGATAAAAATCCTTTAAAACTGCAATTATACTTTTTACACTGAGTGCTTCCTCTGAAATATTTTCAGTAAGTCTCTAAGTGCACTTTAAAAAATTCCTTTGTGAATTCAGTATTGTTGCATGATTTTGTGTGAGAACTCAATGTTTACATAAAATATTGTTCACTTCCTTGTGCCTTGGATCAGAGTGAAGGAGCAAGCAAATCCTGGGTAAGTGGTTTTCCATGTGGATCAGCTCCTGCTTGAATAGTTTGCGTCAGTCCCTGAAAATCAGACTTAAACTGTCTCGCCATGTTTTATGTACCTGAACTGTCAGCTTATTTTCAATGTTGTTTCAATGTTAAGTTACTGATTGCAGTTACCTACCTGGGCCACACTTTCTGTGCTCACTGTGTAACACTGTCAGTTAAGGTGCATATAGTGCTTCCAGGGAAAAACAAGGGGACTCGGGAGCACCATCATTCCAAGCTGCAACTGTTGTGCCCATCTGCAGAGGGCTTAATTCCTAAGCACATGTAACGGTTTGCCCTGGACTATTCTCATGTCATGTATCTGTTGAATACTTAACCCATGCTATTTGATCTTCTGAGTCATTATTCTGAAAGTATCATGAATCAGAAAGATCAAAATAATGGTTAGGTAAATGTGCAAACGTCATCTTGTAAACATGTCAAGTACACTCTTGTCCCCTGAAATGTTGCAGTGTTTTCTTCATGTGTATTTAATGATGGGGGCTAAGTGGTCTAAGACAAACTTGTACTAAGAAAAATAAGGAAATATCTTTGTTTCTTGCTGGCTTGCTGGCTTGCTTTTATTTTCTTGTTGGTGAGGCAGAGAATCTTAAATAGAGATCTGGCTTGGGACATCAGATGAGATTAGAAATGATGATGAAGTGAAAATTTTTTTTTTTTTTTTTTTTTGAGAGGGCATCTCTCATATTTATTGATCAAATGGTTGTTAACAACAATAAAATTCAGTATAGGGGGGTCAATGCTCAATGTACAATCATTAATCCATCTCAAGCCTAATTCTCGTCAGTCTCCAATCTTCTGAAGCATAACGAACAAGTTCTTACATGGTGAACGAATTCTTACAGAGTGAATAAATTCTTACATGGTGAACAGTACAAGGGCATTCATCACAGAAACTTTCGGTTTTGATCATGCAATATGACCTATAAACCATCAGGTCAAATATGAATATTCATTTGATTTTTGTACTTGATTTATATGTTGATCCCACATTTCTCCTATTATTATTATTATTTTTATTTTTAATAAAATGCTGAAGTGGTAGGTAGATGCAAGATAAAGGTAGAAAACATAGTTTAGTGCTGTAAGAAGGCAAATATAGATGATCAGATGATCAGGTGTGTGCCTATGGACTAAGTATTAATCCAGGCTAGACAAGGGCAGCAAGACATCCACGGATGCAGAAGATTTCTCTCAAAGCAGGGGGGGTGAGGTTCTGAGCCTCACCTCTGTTGATCCCCAAATTCTCACCTGATGGCCCCCCTGCGACTGTGCCTGTCTTAGGTTGTTCCTCCCTTGAGGAATCTTACCCGTCTCTGGCTAACCAGTCATCTTCCGGGGCCATACAGGGTGAAGTGAAAATTTTAAGTTATTCATTTGTTCATTCATTTACTCATTGTATTTCATTCAGCTGACTATATATTAGGTGCAGGGCAAGGTATGGAATGCCAAGGTAAAAAAGTAGCCTTGCCCTGTTCCCAGGGAGCTCACGATCTGATTAGTGAGATGAGCAGTATTTACTAAGGAAACAGTGAAGTGGACCATGATGCTGTAGTCCATGCAGAGCAGTGCAGGGGTGGTACAGATTTCCCAGGCTCCGGTTGTTCAGAGGAGTAGGAGATCTGTGAGCAGAGCCACAGATCAGGAGGACCCAAGCCTTGGATTGGGCCTGAGGAGGCAGCAGCAACTCACAAGGGAAGACCTGATACTAACATGATAACAGTAAAATAATGCAGAACTAGATCAACTTCACATCCTTTGGGTTAAATATTTCCTTGTCAAAACATTACTTGCCTCTAGTCTGAGAGCCCCAAGAGATTTTTGTTGGGTTGTTTATTTTTTTGGTTGTTTTAACCAAAAACTGTATTTTATACTCTAAATATGTACAAATAAATTGGTACTTTAAAGATAGTTATGCACCATCCAGTAGAGAAGTCAGTGCCCCAGTGGTGTGTCATTGTGGCATTTTGGCTCCGTCTGTCCATACCTTCCCGGTGGCCCAAAGCGGCCATCTGCGCCCATCACCTCTGAGGCTGAACTCACCATTGCGTCTGTTAAGGCAATTAAGTTGACTGACAGTTCACTCCTTTCTACAGGATCACTATCCATGGCTCAGCTGTGGCAGTTAATTCACAGTGGCTGAAACATGGGGTGAGCAAGGGACAGTTAATAATCTAGGAGTAGTTAGTTAGAAGGTGGGAAACATTTCACCAAGAACAACACAAAAGAGTAGAGATTTAGCTTGGCCATGCTGGGGAGACCTTGCAGAATTTTAACTAGTAAGTGATAATGCCAGAAATTGGAAATATTATTGTGTATTTCTGCACGTTAGACAGATTATTCTGGTAAAGTTTGGAGGATGAATGGAATGAAGGTAAAACTAGTTGGAAGATTCTAAAGATATTAGAGAGAATGCAGGACTGAACTAAGGAAGTGCCAGGATTAGTAGAAGGAGGGGATGGGTTTCAAGGTCACTGAAGGAGGAGAGTCAGCATTGCTCAGAGATCAGCTGAGTATCAGAGAGGGATAAGGAGTCAGAGCTAAAACTACTCACTTAATGGGGTGGTGGTAGTTCTTTTTCTCAAGAGAGGAAATACTGGAGGAACTGATTTATCAGACATAAATAATGAGTGGTTTTTATGGAGACTAAGGTGTCTATGGGACATCTAACAAGCAAATGGATATACAGGTGACCCTTGAACAATGCAGGGTTGGGGCAGTGACCCCCTGTGCAGTCAAAAATCCACATATAATTTTGATTCCTCAAAAACTTAACTATTAATAACCTACTGTTGATTTTATGGTAGTAAATGATTAAATAGACTGGTATCTACATATATTTTATGCATTCATGACATACCTTTTTCTTAATTTTTCAATATTTCTAGGCCATACAGTTTATCTGTGAGTTTCTTAAATTGTCAAAAATCTTCAAAAAGTTTTTCAATATGTTTATTGAAAAAAATCTGTGTGTAAGTGGATCCACACAGTCCAAACAAGTGTTGTTCAAGGGTGAACTGTACAGACCTAGGACATAGGAGAGTGGTCTGGGCTAGAGAGAAAGATGTGGATACCCCAGTATATTGGTGACTTTACCAATGGTGATAAATTGTGTTTTCAGTGAGCATAAAAGAGAATCAATGGTGCTGCCATAGAGGACATTAATATTTAAAGAAGAAGCTAAAAAGAAAAAAAGAGGCTCCTTTGATGGAGACTCAGGAGAAGCAGCCAAAGAATTTAGATAGTGATAACCATTGAGATCAAGAGTAGAGTTCTCATAGTCTCAAGAAGGAGAGTGTCCAAGAAAAATCTGACTTAATCAGCAAATAATGTTTGGCCTGAAAGTCAGCCTTGGAATTGAGCCGTCATCTCAGCCTGTTTGTATCATCAAGAGAAGGAATTAGCAGCTAAGCAGATATCAAAGGTGGAAGACAGTTCACGGACAGAGTCATCCTGGTTAGCCAACTCTATTTTCACTGCCCCTCTTTTAACACAGCACTTGAGAATGAACAAGATTCTAAATAGCTAAGAAAATTGAGTCAATTGTTGTATGTTTATATTAGTATAACTTCACATTATGGAGTGATTTTAGGTAGCCTAAACACATCTTTGATCCATATTCAAATGTCATCATTTAAACCTCCAGGTATTTTTCTTATTACCAGTTACCAATCCAAGCCTCCCCTCAGAGAGGGCAGGAGAAGAGGCACCATGTTTCAATACCTTCTTAAATTGGTCTAATTTTTTTTTGGTGTCATTAATCTACAATTACATAAGTAACATTATGTCTACTAGACTCCCCCCATCATCAAGTCCCCTCCACATTCCCCATTATAGTCACTGTCCATCAGCATAGTAAGATGCTATAGAATCACTACTTGTCTTCTCCGTGTTGTACAGCCCTCCCTGTGCCCCTTTTTCTTCCCCCTTGTCCCTCCCTTCCCACCCACCCTCCCCAGTCCCTTCCCCTTTGGTAACTATTAGTCCATTCTTGGGTTCTGTGAATCTGCTGCTGTTTTGTTCCTTCAGTTTTTTTCTTTGTTCTTATACTCCACAGATGAGTGAAATCATTTGATACTTGTCTTTTTCTGCCTGGCTTATTTCACTGAGCATAATATCCCCTAGCTCCATCCATGTTGTTGCAAATGGTAGGATTTGTTTTCTTCTTATGGCTGAATAATATTCCACTGTGTATATGTACCACGTCTTCTTTATCCATTCATCTACTGATGGACACTTAGATTGCTTCCATTTCTTGGCAATTGTAAATAGTGCTGGGATAAACATAAGGGTGCATATGTCATTTTCAAACTGGGCTGCTGCATTCTTAGGGTGAATT